CCTTATACCTGAAGGTAAGCCCTAACGGGCTTTGGCCTGCGGCCCGATCACGTCCGGTGGCCGGATTTAAGGGCTGCCGCCCAGTGCCGCCGACCCCCGGATTTAGTTGTGGTTTTCGAGCAAAAGAAAACAGTGCCCTTGGTTTTGGTTTCTTTGGTTTCTTTTGGGTGAAATGTTAAATTTTCGCCCCGGTCAAATTTTGGTCTTGTTTTTTGGTTTCACTGTAAACTTCAACCCTGCGTACTTGAGTCATGATCAGACCCCACCCCCCGGGATGATGATGGACGACGTCGATGATAATTATCATCGTAGAATCCTCTGCATTGCCAATGCTGTCTAACGTTACTTTTGAAATGCATATAAGAACAAGAAAGAGATGATGATGACCATCAGGATGGTGATGAGAAGAGTGATGATGATGATGATGACGACCATCATCATGATGATGATGAGGAAGATTTTGATGATGACTGTGATGATAACTATCATCGTAGCATCCCTTGCATCACCAGTGCTCCCTATGATGACCGTGATGACAATGATGATAAGGATGAAAACTCTCATCGTAGCATCCTTTGCATTGCCAATGCTGTCTAACGTTACTTTTGAAATGCCTGTAAGAACAAGAAAGAGATGATGATGAAAATGAGGATGGTGATGAGAAGAGTGATGATGATGATGATGACGACCATATGATGATGATGATGAGGAAGATCCTGATGATATGACGACCATCATCATGATGATGATGAGGAAGATCCTGATGATGACTGTGATGATAACTATCATCGTAGCATCCCTTGCATCACCAGTGCTCCCTAATGAGAGATGATGATGACCGTGATGACAATGATGATACGGATGAGGCCTGTGATGAAAACTCTCATCGTAGCATCCTTTGCATTGCCAATGCTGTCTAACGTTACTTTTGAAATGCATATAAGAACAAGAAAGAGATGATGATGACCATCAGGATGGTGATGAGAAGAGTGACGATGATGATGATGATGACGACCATCATCATGATGATGATGAGGAAGATCCTGATGATGACTGTGATGGTAATTATCATCGTAGCATCCCTTGCATCACCAGTGCTCCCTAATGAGAGATGATGATGACCGTGATGAGAATGATGATAAGGATGAGGCCTGTGATGAAAACTCTCATCGTAGCATCCTTTGCATTGCCAATGCTGTCTAACATGCTTGATGAGAAGGGTGATGATGATGATGACGACCATCATCATGATAGTGTGATGATAACTATCATCGTAGCATCCTTTGCATCACCAGTGCTGCCTATGATGACCATCAGTCATAATCAGGATCTTCCTCATCATCATCATGATGATGGTCGTCATCAACATCACTCTTCTCATCATCATCCTGTGATGATAACTATCATCGTAGCATCCCTTGCATCACCAGTGCTCCCTAATGATAAGGATGAGGACTGTGATGATAACTATCATCGTAGCATCCTCGGCATCACCAGTGCCGGCTAATGAGAGATGATGATGACCGTGATGATAATGATGATAAGGATGATAAGGATGAGGCTGTGATGATAACTATCATCGTAGCATCCTCTGCATTGTCAATGCTATCTAACATTACTTTTGAAATGCATATAAGAACAAGAAAGAGTGATGATGACCCTCATGATGATGATGAGAAGAGTGATGATGATGATGGTCAGATGCAGCATTGATCATGATGATCCTGATGATCCTCACTACGCATCTCCAGCATCACCAGCAGTTACCGTGATGATATCCTGATGACAATCATCACTATGCATCCCCTGCATGCGCAGCAGCTGTCATATCAATCATGACTAAAATGCATCACTGCATTCCAAGCCGGGTTGAACGGCAAGCTTGAAACGTAGAATGCTGATGATCCGGATGCTGCGGCTAGTAAGAGATGATGATGATGACCGTGATGCTAATGATGATAAGGATGAGGACTGTGATGATAACTATCATCGTAGCATCCTCTGCATTGCCAATGCATCTAACGTTACTTTTGAAATGCATATAAGAACAAGAAAGAGATGATGATGACCATCATGATGATGATGAGAAGAGTGATGATGATGATCAGATGCAGCATTGCTCATGATGATCATGATGATCCTGATGATTATCACTACGCATCTCCAGCATCACCAGCAGTTACCGTGATGATATCCTGATGGCAATCATCACTATGCATCCCCTGCATGAGCAGCAGCTGTCATAACAATCATGACTAAAATGCATCTGCATTCCAAGCCGGGTTGAACGGCAAGCTTGAAACGTAGAATGCTGATGACCCGGATGCTGCGAACCCATCACCCAACATCAGTGGTGCTGATAAACATCACGAAGACAAGGACGAATACAAGCCCTTCCCATGCGCCTCCCCTTTGGAGAAAGGGGTCGGCGGATTTCTTTGTAACCTCTACCCCGCTTCCATCCCCAGATCGCCAATGAGAGTAGCTGTGAGATGCTTCTGTCTGCAAATGTCGACTCGTGTCCTGTTCAGGCTGTTCCCTTTGTTCAGGCTGTTCAGGCTGCTCAGGCCGTTCAGGCTGTTCAGGCAGATGGCTTAGTCACAGCTGCCTGTGCATTGGAGACATCACTTGCGAGTGAACGCTATCACCCACGATGGAGGTTCATTTGATGGGGTATTGATATTTTGGGCTGGGGAGCCATGATGGATGGGCTGAACACCAATAGGTTGGTCGCCGTTTATGATCGCTTTGCACCTGAACGGCCACTTTCTCAGCTTCGAAGTAACATGCACACAATGAGACCCAGGCCTCCAGCCTAGCAGATCGAGCAAACGGGTCAGCGCTTTTCTTGTAAAGCAAGTCATCGTTTCTGCGGCATGCACTTGCCCACATTCTGCCAATCGAGCGCTGGTGCTTCTAGCCAGGTCTTTCACACTGCGTTGGTTGACATAGCCTGATATGGAACACAGTTCGTCCAAGTCGAACTCAGCCCGCAACTCCCAGCCAACCTCCAACCACCCCCCAGTTCCCAATTTCTCAACCCACCCCCTCCACCCCTAAACACCTTGAGCTCAGTCAACCTCTGCGTTCCCATCAGAACCTCCCCTCCTTCGCATCGCGCCACATGCGACGCGTGGCTGGAGTGCTGCTCCTGGGCACTGTGCCCGAGGCTGGGATGTGGAGCCGCACGTTGAGGGGTCCTGTGACCAAACCACGGAGTGGGGGAGCAATTTGCAGCCGAAACTTCTACCCTTGCAAGGCTTTGGCTCTTGGGAGCACCCCTCTTGAGCCAAAGCTGAAGCCAGATAAACCCCTACCATGTGTGTAAACAGATTGACAAACACTCGTTTTTGGCCAATTAGGAATCTTGATCCGAAGGTTGCAGCTGGCGCCATGTCAAAACCTCTGAATGATTGGACATGAATTCAACGAGGGGAGTTTCGCTGCTTCACACAGGCCACCCACAGACATAGTCTTCTGCGTGGTTTTGGTCAACCGCAGACCTGGTCATCTTCTTGGTTTACTTTTCCAGGCCAATGCCAAAATGATCCAAAATGGGTTTCTGAGTCCAGATTCTCAGGCAGAGGCGTTGGCATCCTGGGCCGATGGCAGGCCCCCTCGGAGAGAGAGTCAGCGAATGTGTGCCATGTCGCTGTATTCCATAGGCTGTTGCCGGCCACTGGCGTTGGGCTGGCCATGAATTTTAATAGGGAGCCACCTCAAAAGTGATTGGTGGACATGAATCCCCACCTAAATGATGTCCACCAAAGGGCCCCTTATTAAAATTCATAGCCAAGTCAGTGCACTGGCTTTTTGGGGTTTCTTTCGCCAGGTGGTACGACGTGTCGCCCTTCTTTAGCTTGCCATCTGCCATCTGCAAGAAGCTGCCGCACTGCACGGTCAAAGGCGCGTGAGGAGAGTTGGTGTTTGAGAAGCTGTGGCATGGAGTCCTCAGGTTTCGAGCGGGAGGAAGAAACAGGTGCTTCAAGCGAAGCAGCTCACTTTCCCACTCAATGCTGGTCTGCAGCAAGCACGGAGAAAAGAGCTCATAAGATGAATGGGGGATGCCGAAGGAATTCATGTAGGATGGGGTGTTGAGTGCTGATTTGAGTGAGACCAGACGACATTGCGCCAAGGACTTGTTTCTTCTTCCATGAATAAGAATCCACTCACATAGGTGTGGCTCAAAAAGGAATAGAGCTAGGGCAAATTAGAGGTTTTATCCTCCCACCAATTAATATGAAACCTGACAGCGGGTCTTTTTAATTTGGAACATGGGCTTCTGAGGCCCCCGAGCGTCAGGTTCCATGTTAATTGGTGGGAGGGTAGTGGTTGGTTCCATTTGCCAAGTTTCCATTTTTCTGGGTGAATTATAGCGACCTCTCACGACCTCACCCCAAATGGTGGTTTATGTGCGGAATAGCCCCCCAACCACCTTGTTCACCCAGATTTTGGCCGCAAGGGTCGAGAACTGCACTTCCCCGTCCGATTTCTTGAGCGCAAGGTTGTCCCCAGCCGGTCTGCGGCAGTTGGAGCAGCTTTGGCCGCTGGTGCCGCTGAGCTGCACATGTGTTTTTTTGGCGTTTCGCCCGGTTCTCCCCGTAGTCTGCACTGTCTTAACATGTGGAACCCCTATGGCAGTTTTCCCGCGGATTTCCCTTCAAAACAGCCCAATAAAGGGTGGGATTGGCCGTGCAAAGGCACGTTTCGGGCTGACCCCTTTTCTGGTTGTACCCACTGCACGAACCCACCTCGCCGCCAATCCCATCCATGCCAGATTCGAAAGCGACTTCCATGCAAAAGTGCATCAGATGGCAAGTTGCCAGAAAGAGAAAGAGGGACGCGTCCTGTATGGGCCTTGGCAATGCAGAATGTAACTCTAGACGGTTTTGGGTGCAGTGATGCACCTTTAACAGGCTTGTGGAGAACACCTCCCAACTTGGTGGTGGAGATGTTGAAACGTTGCTCTTCTTTGGCATCAAGCCGCCTCAGGTTCAAACATGTCATTGGACTGCTGGTGGCATGGCGGTATCACGGAGGTATGCAGGGTGCCGGTGATATCTGCGCCGTGCCCCCACCCTGCTACAAGCAGCCGGCGCAGTCAGGGCATTGGGGGGTTGGTGAGGGAGGCTGGATTCGGATGTCTGGTGGGCTGCCTTGCACGCGTCTTCTGGGCATACGGACCCCACGGGCCCCGCAGGCCCCGTGGGCCCTGCACTTCAACGTTTCCCCGCGCTCAGCGCAGTCTCCGGCGCGTGGCTCGCGCACCGGGCTCAGAGGCTGAGTACCTGCAACGGGCGTGGCTGTTCGACGCAGCGCTGGCAAAGGTGGAGGCGACAGATGCGGAGGGCCCGCGGGCTGTGGCGGTCCGGGCGGCCGCTTTGGCAGGCCTGGAGCGGTTTGCAGAAGGCCGGGAAGCGATTCAGGAGTTGAAGGATGACATTCTGTTGGCGGCCGAGGCAGGTATTGATGTAGCGGAGTTTCTCCAACACTGCGATACCCTGGAGCGTCAGAGCCAGGGCGACTTTGCCTTCTCCGACGTCTTTGGGGCCATGATCGAAGCACGTGAAGCTGGCCGTGGCTGGACTTCCGCTCTCCTGCCTCAAGTGCCCGAGTTCACCTCGCCTTCCGTGGAAGTGCGCAGCCTCGCGGCGGGCGGGCGGGGCCTCTTCGCTGGCGCTTTGGCCGCTGGGGACGTGGTGCTGTGCGGCCTGCCCTTGGTCTGCGCCCCGGATGCTGCTCTGGTCCCCGCGCTCAGGGAGGCCGCCGACGCCAGCGATCGTGTGCGTGGGGTGCTGGAGCTGCTGTCTGATGGTTCTGAGAAGCCCGTGGCGTCTCTGGAGCAGTTCTGCTGGAGAGCACCGCCGGAAAATGCACCAAAACTCGAGGATGAGCAGCTGGAAGAAATCTCGAGGATCAACGGATTCGAGTTTTTTGGCTCGTCCGCTGTCTTTGGCGCAGCTTCAATGTCGAACCACTCTTGCTGTCCCAATGCTCACTCCATGGCTGTAGGAGATGCACTCTTTGTCCGCGCCAGTCGGACAATTTCAGAGGAGGAAGTGCACATCTCATACTTCGACGTGCTGAAGCCGCTGAGAGCGAGAGAAGAGAGGACCCAAAGCTGGTCCTTTCAGTGCAGATGCCGTCGCTGTGAGTTTGAGCGCAGCATGCCTGCGCACTTGCACGATACCGCGAGCGTGGATGAGGTCGAGTCTGCCGTTGCAGGCTTGGAGCCCTTAGAAGCAGGCTGGCTGAGGGCAAGTCACATTGTTTCGTACAAGGAAGAGCTCGAGGCATTGTTTCCGCTGGGAGAGGAGGCCATGCAGAAGCGAGCGCAGCTGCTGCGCGCCATGGAAGTTACGGACCCCGGCTCTTTCACGCACGTGAAGTTTGCTTTTTTGGACTGGCTTGGCGCCAAGTCCGTCTTCGGGCCAGAGGATCCCGCGACGCAGCAGGCCATGCGGTACTGCGATTTCGTGCACCAGGTGCGGTATGGCAAGGTTCCGGGAAGTGCCTTGGTGTCTCTCCTGAAGCGCACGCAGCAGGCGGTGCAGTCGGTGGGCGTGGGAGAAGAGTTCTGCCATCCAACTGCAGCTCCGGAAGTGTCGGCAGAGGATGGGAAGACCATGCTCCTGGATTGAACCAGCGTTTCTGCTTGTCCCATGTGCGGAAGCTGGCAAGAATGGATCTCGGAGCTGGTAGATGTTTGGCTATGCGGAGTGGCCGCGGTACTGAGGCTATGTTTCAGCCATGTGCTCTGTTCAGGGCACTTGAGAAGCTCACCCGGAAGAGAGAAACTTTGCCGCTTGCGAATCCTCTTGTCTTGCAGTCGCAGAAGTTCAGGTCCACTCCTTTCGCAACCTTCAAGTTGCAATCCAACCGATTTTTGGGTTTGGCAGTGTCTCTTTTTTTTTGGTGGGACCCCCAATAATTCTTGGCTTCCCTTTGGGTTTCCCTTTAAGACAACAACACAAGGGGGTACCAACTCCAAAAGCGACAGCCCCGTTAGTTCCAATTGATCCGAGCTTTTTGTCGGTCCATTTTGTTCCGGCTTTGGACTTGAGGCTATCTCCTCATCGGCAAGCACTTGGTCTTTCCAGATGCCCAGCAACGCTGCCAGGTGACTTGCAGCTAGAGCCTGTTTTTTTTTGAAGGGTACCTTTTTTGGGTGGTTTTAAAAGGGCAGGAAAACAAGCGCTTTGGATGGAAAATACGAGACAAACTCTTGCAGATTGGCAAAGTTTGCGCTCGTACCCTTCTTGTTGAGCCTGATGCCGCCAGGATAGATTGCATATATGAGTACATGCGTGGGCACACACAGCCACACATGCACCCACATGTAGACCGTGGACACCACTTCCAGCGATGCCCAGCATACCCCCGGCGCCCTTCTCCGTGTTGCTTGATGTATTTTGGTTTTGTTGACTCCGAGTTCTGGCCAGGAGCACGATGCCGTGCTGGCCTCTGTCCAGTCGAAGGAGGAGAACGAGTTCTTGCGGCGGCTCTGCTTCTCGGAATGTCTCAGCCATTGGCCCTGAAGGATGACACCGTGGATTGGACAAGGTGATGCTCAAATGAGCCACTATCAACACCCGAATAGATGAAGGTTAGCAAGGGGCAGTCCCAACCATAAATAGCTTCGTCCGCTTTTTGAATTCTTTACATGGTTCTGGGTAGACCATGTTAGTACCGGGTTTTGATTACAACTCAAATCCCTTTAGCACATGCCACAGGCTTCAGTGCCCAAATCTCCCCTGTGAAGAAGCCGGTGCTACACCGGTCGGATCGCCGTGTCGCCCTTTCGCGTCAGAAAGACTAAGATGAAACTGGCCGTCACAAGTGAATTTGAAAGCACAGCCAGAGCCCTATTTTTTGGAGGCACCCCGTCACTGGATAGCTGTCTTGTCAGATTGCCGACAGAAATTCCTTTCGGCCAAAGAAAACTGCAAGCAGCATCCGCAAGGGACTGGATCGAAACCTGGCCATCATTTTCAGGCCGAGAGAGGGGTTGTGCAGCCTGCAAGTATCCATTTTGCATTGAACTGGTTAACTAAATGTTGATCGCATCGCACATCCTCTTCTGGCCTGTTGTCCACAGTTTTGCGTCTTGGCCGGTGCCCCTAACTTGCTCTTCGACCAACTTTCTTGCAAATCCCTGTGATCTGCGGGCGCGAAGCCGTGTTTTGGCAGGGCTCCAAGTGTCGGCTCAGGCGGCCCGCGCTTCTGCTGGCTGGGGCTCAAGGAGCTCCCAGACACGGAGGAGTGGCGGTGGCTGGACGGGCCCTTCCGGCGCGATTGGATTCCGAGTGGGGCGAGTCGGAGCTGTGGATGCTTGGGTCCCTGTGTTGAACTGCATTCAAAAGTTGATCCGTCACTTGGTCTTGGGCAAGAAACAGCAGACCAGGTGTAACATCTTTTGGGCCAACCGGCCATTTGTGACGCCAGGAATTTGTAGCATGGGAAAACCCGCAGAGGTCGTGCAGATTTTTTGGGCCGACTTGCCATCTTTGATGCGATTTGCATGCGGCCCCATGCGCTGCAATGCCCAGGTCGGATGCCTCGGCGGGGGCTTTCTGGAACTGGGCCCCCGGAGAGCCCAACAACAACGGACAGGATGAGAGCGCAGCTCGGGCGGTTAGAGTAGGGGGGGGAGGGGTTGGAGCGGGGTGGGTGGGCGTGTGCCAGTCTGCTAGATTGCAAGCTTCTTGTTTCTCGCCCAATCCTCTTTTTTCCACGGCAGTGCCGCAAGTTTCGTTTGGGCAATGTCAGAATCCAGGCAAATTAGTGAGGGAACGGTCCAGGGTTCCCTGCGGCTTGTTTGCGTATATGACAGCGCCTTGCTCTCGAGACTTTTAAAAACAACTTGTTCCCCTTTTCCACATGAATTGCAGGGACTTCTTCTCCATGGCACGAAGGTTTCAGGTAGGTTCCTTCACATCGAAGCTCATGGCCTCATGGCCTCACCGCCGCTATCCGAGGTGGCCGTCATGAATTGGAACCTGGAGGAGCTGCGGTTACCTGCGAAGGGAGCCACAATGTTCCACGTGGCTTGATGGCTATGTAACGGATCTTCGGACTTGAACCTTTTGAGAAACAGCGTATTTTATCTTGGACCCACAAAGAGTTACCTTTGCAGAGGTGTCAACAGCGTGGAAGAGTTTAGTGACAATTAATTGCTCAAGCGAGTCTGACCACTTCACACTGGGGCGCTGACTTTAGCAAACCACCTCGCAAGCTTTGCCGGGAGCGGAAGCCGTGGCTGCCCGGCGCGTGCATAGAATGCATCTAGTGGCATTGATTCGGTTGTGCTTGGCCTAGATCCGCTGCCAGCCTCTTTCCCAAGTCCTCACTGCCAGGAGGATATCAGAGAATCACCACACACCTGGGCCAATGGTCTCTGGTACGACATGCCTGCCAGCTTCAACTTGGGTCAGGCCACTGAGTCAGCAGGGCCCTCTTGTGTGGTGGGGGGTTGTCAGTGGATGGTTGTCGCCTGACTTGCCGCTTGGAGACAAAGGTTTGGCTCCAGCAGGCCAAGCTTGGGTCCAAGAGTCGCTCTATCTGGGTGTGCCGTTTTTTGGAGTACCCATTCCCCTTTCGGGGTCATTGTTGTTGCTTGACCTGCGTGGTGTTGGTTCGGGATCGCTGGTACAGGTATCCGAAACCAAGAGGAAAACCACCATTTTGGTGAGTCCCCCGAAAACAGACACACTGACTCATTTGTGCTTTCATTCAGCCACTGCTTCAGGTGATTTGCGAGCGCAGCGAATGGAGCTGCCACCAGGATTGGAAGAGCTTCAGGCAAGGCTTCGTGGCCATTGCGCGACATACTGTGAATTTCGGTGGCCGTTCCACCTCTGAGTGAGTTCAGCCAACAAGTATCTGGAGGAATTCAATTGAGGGATTCACGACCATGACCCCCAATTCTCATCCTTCTGGAAGGTGCGAATTAAGTCGTGTTTGTTGTCCGATTCAACTTTGGGGAAGGGGTTGTGGGTTTTGTTAGATCTGTTTGGAAGCCAGGAAGCCAACAACAGCCCCCCCCCCACTTGCCGCAAACAGGTCACTCTTTTTTCTCGGGGACCCCCCAAAACGTCTGTTTTCCTTTTGGTTTTTCCTTTGAAACCACGGGAACTCCCAAAAAGAAGGACTTGTTTCCCTTTGAAGCCACCAAACAAAGCAGGTTGCCCCGAAAAAAAGGGCTTGCCGCAAGAAGACAAATCCGGTTGCCTCGCCCGTTGCCTCGCCGCCGGTGACCGACACCGCCAGGGGGTCCTGTTACCAGCTGCAGTCCTGGCCCGGCACGTTTCAGGAGGCCCAGGGCCGCTGTGAGGAGGCGATCTCCGGTCGCTTCGGCCGCGAGAGCGATGGGTGTTTCCGTGTGATTGGCGCATGATTCGCCAACAAAAAATGAGCCCCCCCGAAGAAAGGTTAACCTGAAGAAAAGGCGCAACACCTTTGTTTTTTTCCAGATTCTTTGGTTGACAGGCCTTGTGGCAACTTACCATGAGGGTTGCAGTAGTTAGACATCTTTTGGCGTGTGTCGTAAAATAAACTTGGCTCCATCGTGACAGTTTGGGATGCAAGGCTTAAATTTCCGTCGGCGTGGATTCTACTTCAAGACAGTTTTTGTGGGCTGATGGGCCTAGGCAACTGACTGTGACGATTTATTTCTTTCCGTTTTCATTATTTGTGTCTTCAAGCTTCGTGTATCATACGCTGCATATGGCGTGCTTTTCTATCTCGGTTACAGTTGTCCCTTAGGATGGGGTCGATAGCTTGGTAAAACCAATATCTCTTTCTGGTCACTCGTCAATCGTTGAACCACAGGAACGACATTCGGAAGAAATTTGGTGCATCATGATTCACCAACAAAACATAAAACATGACCCCCGCCCCCCCAAGAAAGGAACCTGAAAAAAACCACGCAAGAAAGCGAACATTTTTTTTTTTGCCGAAGACCGTCGGCCACGCAAGGGGCCCTTTTCTGATGGGCAACGGGAGGTGGTGGACATTTGGAAATCTGCGTCTTCTCCCGAGTGACGCTGTGGGGAAAAGAACACGGCCGGGCTGGGCTGGCTGCGTGACTGGCGCGGGTCACCTGCTCGAGTCGATGTGAATTGATTCATTGCTATGACATGATCCAACTGAGAAGAGTCACGAGGCCTGTCAGCAGTTCTATGTGCGCGCTCGAAAGGGGCATTGCCTAGGACCTAGGACGAGTTGCAGGCGGTTTCGCATGAGGACCAAGCTGAGTGTTTTGCCACGTTTTTGCCTTCCCAACGCCTTGGCGCATCCTCGAGTCGCAGGGACATCAGTCCACGCCAGGAGGATCACACGGATTGGCGCTGAAGGGTATGTTTCAATCAACCGCTAGACAAGGTTGGTATTCATCATTGCAAGGCTTGAGAGGCTGCGCTTGGCCTCAAGACATGTGGCCATGGGTCAAAATCCAAATCGTACCCCCAGTGAACATCCCAATCCCCACCAAAATAGGTCCTAAAATGGGTGGTGAATTCGCCTCTTGGTTTTGACCCATACCTGTGTGTTTCTTGGCCGCCACCCCGCGCTCAAAAGCCGTGCTGCTAGTTGCCATGTTGTCATGCAGCGTGAGGCCTCCGCCCATTTGGTGACGATCCAG